CCCCCGTGCAAAAATAGTCACGGCGTTTGATTGAGTTGCTTCCGTATTTTAGAACCAAATTACGAATGGTCGTCGGAGTCGTCCCTCGAATTCACTTCCTTCGTCCCTTGTTATAATTATTTCATTTCCTTTTATAACAATAACAAGCGATTTCAGTTTGAAAACGGTTGAAATGGACATATCTCCGCAAACATCGAGCGTGATTGTGTCTTACGCATTGTACCGTTACAAAATATACGTGTAATCCTTCCAGACCTTGACCAGACCCTTAAATTGAGAATAGTTGGACTCTTAGCGATTTTATGTCGTGTCAGAGTCGACTAAATTGGAATCAAAAAAATGTGAACAGCAAAGAGTTACGTTACACTTTGTTAAGATTACAGATATTTATTAATTAACCATGACACCTGTTGGCAAATACGATCGAGAATCTGTGCCACTGAAATCTGATATCGAAAAGAAAAATTTCATTTCAGGGTAAAATTCAGGTCTGGAAGGACGAATAGGTGAACCATAAATTACAGTGACAGTGCTAATAAATGATCATAGCTCCTGATCACGCAAACTGAAGAATTAACTGTATAAATGGAAACCCTTTGTTTTTCGATACTGTTTCACTCCGCGTTGCTGATTTATATTTTTTTTTGTTTTTTTTTTATTTTTTTATTTTTTTTTGTGTATCTACATCGAGCACAATAGTTTTTAATTAGGATCGAGAAATCGACCTTTGTATCGCCAAGATATATAAACGTGACTCTGTCTTTCAATTTTGATTCTAAAAATTTCGCTGATCAATTATTATCGCAACACTTAGCGGATGTTAATTTTCGAGTTAATTTTCAATTCGATGAAAATTGTCCATTTCGACAGCACGTTTATGCGATCTAGGTTAATATACACGTCCCCGCGATACGATAAAGTAATTGTTAATAAGATGATTATCGTGTGACTTGCTAATGTGCATCGCGTATCGGAGCTTGCGAACTCGCCTTTCTTTTATCGCTATAAAAATGAATCGTCAACGGTGGCGTTAGAAAGTAAAAGGTAGAAAAATATATGCATACACCGCTTTAACCGTTTCTCTGACCCTGTGCCGCGTGGAGATATCCCTCGAGAAGCTTTCCATGTCGCACGGCTGGTACAGTAAAGTTCATCGAAACCGTGGTAAAAGGGGAATGCGAATTTAAAATCTCTACAAACGCCATTTTTTTCTTTTATATTCTACGCGATTCCCTTTAATCACCGCAAATTATCGTCGTTCTGTGCTCCCTCTCCACGTAGCACTGGCCCACTTTGCAATGATGGACTCCCGATTATCTGGTTCTCTAGACTCTACGCTTTTTGTACTTTACGTTCTATGCTATTCCTAATAATCGAACCGTTCCTGGTAATAATCTTGGAAGCAATTGGTTAGAGACGTTAATTGCGTCGAGACTGATGATTGAAGGATGTTAAAACAGTGATGTTTAAACATTCTAGTCTGGAGTTTTTTTAATTATTATTATTTTGGCAAAATTTGGTCCGAAATAAGTCCAGTTTAGATATAAATATATTTTAAACATTTAATTCTAACACTTGATTTTGAAAGGTCTTTCAATATTTATATTTAAATTGCACACGGTGAAAAATATTAATCCAAAAAGAGTTATTTAGATTATACTCTACTATGTTTCATATTAAACAGAAGAAACGTGTTTTTGTACGATTTCTAAATATTTATGTTTAAATTGATTCGTTCGATTCTTGCTTTACGAGCAATTTTTCATTGTATATTGGCTCCTGTAATTACTCAGGAATTATTACTTGTTATATCAGATTTTTGTTCTGTTTAATTTGTAAAGAAACAGCGTAGAATTTTCTTTTAAACCGTGTACTGAATTTAGAAAGTTTACGAACCGCTGAGTTTTAAAAGCGTCACTATCGTTGCAATTAGTTTCGATAAGGATCTGACAAAAGAAATATTCAACACCTCTCCTTCCAACTTTAACATTATTTTGCAAAATTATAGACTGCATATCCCTTGTTTTAATGCGTAACATTACAGTTACTCAGTAATCTTAAAGATATAAGTAATAAAAATTATTGTCTATACCATTAGGTTAATATGACATGACTCTAATTACATATATCTTCATAACTGTTAAATGCTCACACCTAATATTTTACACATTGGGATAGACACTTGTCTTTCATCATCCTGTAAGAGGATGGCATTCACGCTGATATAACATTCTGTTGGATAGTGATAAAGAACGTATTGTTAGAATATTTTAACAAAAGATGCTCTGATATTGATAAAAGAATTTATAGAGGAATATAACAACGATGGAGTCAAATAATAACGATATTATTTAGTTTTTTAAATAGTAGTAGTATAGTAATCTCAGATCCTCGATACAAACCACAACGTTAGCCAAGCGTTAATATAAATTTTCCAAAAATAACACGACTTTCACCAGGAACGGTTCTAACAGTAAAGATTTGAGGAACTACAATTTATAGTAACACTCAAGGTGAGTCGATAAAAATTATCATCTGAAGTAACCTATCATCTACTGACTCTAAAATAAATTATTTTGTGTGATATATATCTTATAGTATGGAGGCTCGTCGAACACCTTCCAAAGCAATAATTTTATTTGTTCCATGCCCTATACTTTATACGAGATATCTATATACAGTCAATGTAATAAGTAGACTGCGGATCTTTATGCAAAATAAAATCTTCGCAAACGTACCTACAAAAATTGAACCTAATTAGGAATTTAGTTTATTCTGCAAATATTATAACGTGAACTTTTCCTTCAATCTTTTTTATATTCTTGCATATTGTTTGTATTTTATAGTTACTTGGACATTCAAATTTCCTATAAATGCATAAAGATCCGCAGTCTAGTAATAAGTATTCGTACAGGAACCAATTCAAAATAAAACTTCATATATTTATTTTATTTATAAATGTTAAGGGAAGAAATAATTAACCAACATTTCTACATAATTTTAGAGTAGATTTTGCGTGAATTAAAGTTTATTACTTTTAATGTTAACCTCTTATTTCTTTTCTTATTAGTTTTTATTTTAAATTGGTTAAGAATATTTCTTACACTGACTGTATATATATTTAAGAGTAACCACAATTTTGTGACAATTGTATTGTTCTGAGCACATGCCATAAAGTAGACAGGGCAGGTATCATTCGAAATGTCTCGAGTTCTGCCTTTTCAGAGTTCCAACACTCTCGTCCCTTCTACGCTCCTAATAAATTCAATCATTCTTTACTAGAACCTTATCAACGTGATTAAATACCCAGATACGAAACTATATATTCTATAAAGAAATGACAAAATTGCATAAGGATATTTACAATGGGACAAAATCAACTCCTGTTATCGCGAATAATAGGATAATTAGGTATGCCTCAACAAACGAATTCAATATCGAAAACAAGATGCTTGCTGATCAAACTAAATACGATTGGTGTGTGATGTAAAACAAAATTAAAAGTGTAAATAAAGTAATATTCATACACAATTTAATCGTTTCTAATAATTGGACCCGCGAATATTTATGCACCTACAATAAGTGTAAATGAAAAAAAAACTGTAGAAAAATGTGTGCAAATGCAGAAATGTATCAAATATGCAAAATTTAGTGGATGTTGTAATGTTTAAAGAAAAAAAACCATCCTAGACCCTTAAGAACTACCATTGAACTTTTCGTTTAGGCTACGCTGCCATACCGTGGCTGAAAACTTTTTTCAAGCAACGTCAGTTATGGTAGAATTAAAATTAATAAATAAAGAATGTAATATCTCAACGAAATATCGAAGTTATTCACTGGAACAATTTAGACAAAGACGATGGTTTCCTTTGCAAATAACATTGCAGGAAATATTTGGTTGGTAACCTTTGGCCACCCTAAATCTCGGTTACCAGCGTTGTTATTGTTTTCATGTAGACTGTACAACGAACTATGATTTTCAGTTGAAAGTAATGCGCAATTACGTTCTTATCGGTTTTTTTTTCTCAGCCACAGTACGCAGCGACCGCGGTGCGTAAACAAAACATGTTCAACCTCGGTACGTAGGGACCATAATGGCGTTTAACGCGTTAACACTAAAACTAACAATTTGTTAAATTCGACTCGTGTACACCAAACGTCTTTCCAAAGTCACTTAATCTTTAACAACGGCTTCATCGCAATTTTCAAAGACAATTATTCGAACAGAAGATTAATTTATACATAGTTGGAAAGAATAATAGGTAATGCTATGATCTCGGTAGTTTTAGGGTTAAACTAACAAGAATTAAATGCAAGAACGACTGGATGCAAAACACGAGAAAAGTGGAATATTTGGGAGCGGAGAGTTCCATTGAAATCGTATTATATTTTACGTAGAAATTAATTCTGTGCCTTTATATTCATTCATTTATTATTTGTTTCTTTTTGTAACTCTAGTTTAAATGTAAATACTTACTCGTCATTTTTAACCGACTTCGAAAAGGCGGAGGTTACTCAATTCGACATGTACATTTTTTGTTTTGTATCCATTTTTCAAGTTCTCGACTTGATAACCCCAGGTCTCAACCTGATGGCCATTACAATTTATCTATATGTACGAATAGCCATCAAATTGTTTTTATTATTATACTTCTAACACATTACACGTATAAGAAGTAGTTACAATAATTGTAGAAAAATAACAGTAAGTAAAAAAAATATCACGTTCCATGCAATGGCCATCAGGTTGAGACTTAGGTCTGGTGTAGAGATGAGTATAAATGTGCATAGATACATTGTAATAGAAATCAAGTTGAGGATTTTGGATGCTTGTACTTAAATGTACTAAAATTACAAATAAATATATCTGTTTAAACTAGAGTTACAAATAATTAAATATAGAAACACAGAATTGATTCTACGCCTACTATTTTACATAAAACAATTTTTTCCAAAATCGCTAAAAAAATAACATCAGATGACAATTACTATCGACTCACCCTGCGATAGAAAGAAAAGGCAATTCAGCATCTCGGCAATCGGAGCGACGAGATGATTTAGATCGTCCATCAAAGCGGATAACGTGGAGTCTATCGTGACGCAACCCCGCACAGATTCTTCCCAACAGACAGCACCACTTTCATTCGCGATTTTCAGGTAATAACGTCTACGCGACTACGATCCGTTCGAATAAAAAAATTCGTTCGTTAACTGGCTCCGTTCGAGTGCTGCCTCATCGTGAACGTCAGGCATGTCCACGAGCGAGGCTTGAGGGCCTCACAGCGAGGCCCGACGGGCAGCTCCTCTCCCTTCCACGCGCGGCAACCGACGGAGAACGACTCAGCGTAGAGCTCCGTGGAGCAGAGCTTGGACCTGCGTGGTCGTCGAGCGCGCATCCCAGCAGGATCGTGGTGGGGGAAACATTAGGGGCATCATGCACGTGGACTGGCCTGACGCACACGATTCTAAAGGTTCTCCAAAAGGGCTTTAAAAATTATTTAATCACACACAAATGGTAAGGAATATTCAGTGAGTGTAAAAAGTATTCGTACACTGATCAATTTCCAAAAAAGCTATGTAAAATTGTAATTTATTACCTTATTTTTTATAAACATTCTACATATTCTCGAAAATCTCTAGAATAGATAGAGTACAAAACAAATAGATATTTATGTAAGTTGCGAAATTAACAAGAAAAAAACAATTAATTGATAGAAATATTGAAACAATAAGTATTCAATTGTTTAATTTTTTAAACTTCATTAGAGAAAAAAGAAATTTACATTAATTTACAAGTGTATATATAGTACTTCCTTCGTGGGATTTCCTTTTGATGTTATAATTACTGTAACTTTTCTAAGCATTAAATTAAGTAAATTATTAGTTATTCGAAGTGGGATCTTTTTCCATTCCTCTATTAGAACCTATTTTAAAAGTACTTTCCTGGAAATTTGATGTTTTCTAATTCTTACGGAGCAATAAACTAATGTGTTTACGTTACAAATTCTACTGTAAATAGTTCGTCATAAAAATCGTACAAATACTTATTGCTTCTATGCTTTCACCCACTTTTCGCATTTTTTTGTTAATTTCACAAATTATATTAACTAGTAAATGTTGTTTGGACTATATCTATCTTAGAGACTTCCGAGAATATGTAAAATATCATTGATTATAAAAAAAGAAATTAAAAAACTACAATTTCACACAAAAGTTTTTTGGGAAATTGATCGGTGTACGAATACATTCTACACCCACTGTATACAATTTATGTAATACGTATCAAAAAAGATGTAGGAAAGAATAAGAAGAAAACTTTACGAGAGAAACGACGCAACAGAGAACATCTCAAACAGAGGAAGTTAGGAGTAGAAGGCACGAAGGGTTGGAAATAATTGAGGGAGTGTCTAACAAAGAGAAGGAAGTACAAGACCAAAGAAGATATAACAAAATACAAACTTGAACTTCTGTAGATATTACAAAAGGATTTGGTGTTTTGGACACTGGAGCTACTAAAAATGCCTTAGGAGAGAAGTGAAAATTAAGCAGACAAGGATGATTGGTAGATTTAGATTGTGAAAATAATAATATTGGGTTGTCCGGAAAGCTCATGTCGATTTTTTGTAGGTGGTACAGGTCTGAATATATCGAAATGGTTGAAAACAAATAACATGTATACATCCCCTAAAAAGTGGAACGATTGTGGAACAAAATAGCACCTATGTAATTCAATAAATACATGTGTATATACATATATATATATATATATATATATATATATATATATATATATATATATATACACATGTATTTATTGAATGTGCCTTTGAATTTTTCTTAGAAATTGCCACGAACTTTCTGGACAACCTATTAATGTGTCCACCATGACTTTTTGTTATTATAAAACAAGATCCTAAAAACTCGTTTGGAAAACCCTTTATATGCTTCTACGTACATGATTCGAGGTTTCCGTGAGCTTCGTGGTTCGTCGTCTTCGCAGGATCCAGAATCGTTCCCCTAGCAAAAATGGCGGAGGTAACAAATCGGTTTAGATAGTAGTTTCGTTCGGAGAACAGCACTCGATGGAACTCGCGTAGTTTAATACTTCGTGCTACTTTGCTTTCTCGAGTCCGGAAGACGCAGATCGCGAGCACGATTACTGAATTTTCGTCTACTGCTTAAGACTCTGGAAAAAGCGGATGCCGGAGGGCAGAGATCGGCAAAATCTTATCTAACTAATAGATGACTCGAATTAAAATTAAAACATCTTGAAATGAGCTCAAACAAAATCAACGTATACATGACATTTTTTCGATGAAAGAAATAAATTGGCAAAATCTTATACGATTAATGGTTAATTTGAATTCAAATGAAAATTTTAATTTCAATTTCATTTAAATGAAAATTAGAATTAAACTCAAATAAAATATACGCCATTTATTCGATGAAGGAACTAAATTTGAATTTATGTCATTGTTATCATACGAGTAACAAATAAAAAAATGACTATCTATAATTTGGTATTTATCTGCATAACCTGCCAATCTCTGCCAGAATCCACAGCCATCAATCCAGTCTCCGGCCAAGGTAAATTCACGCAACTACGTCTCCACCCTGTATACTCTTGCGAACGTGACGCAAGAGTGTCTCGCTTTCCATGCTTTCTTCCTCGTTTTCGTACAGCGGATTCCAACCCGATTTCGTTGTCCTTTCGGGATCAAGATAACTCCCAGGTTTCGTCAGAATGAGCTCTGAAGAAGTTTAACGCGGCTCACGTCGATGGAGAAAGATCCGGTTGGACGTGAGAGCGTTAGAGTCGGATCGAAATTAAGTGGCCGCTCAAGGTCACAGATGGGATATCCCTCATCATTTTTATACATAGTCGAACCTCCATACTCGTGTAAATAGTAGGAATAAGATTAGCAGGAGTAGGAACGGGTATAGTTTGAGTAAAACTAGGAAAAGTACTGGGAGTAATAAGAGTGATAGGAGCAAATGTTGTAACAGTTCTAACAAATTTATAAAAAGAGAAAATCATAAACTTTAACCCTTTGCACTCGAGAGGTGATCCTCAGTCACCACTAGGTTTTCTTTAGGTTTAATTTCTTTGGAACTCAAAGTGTCAATAAAATGATTGTCGTTGAGACAAAGGTGACCTGATTTTCAAATCTCAAATTAAGGATCTCATTTTCGAAGTTAATCGAAGCTTACCATTCGTGACAATAGAATGCTAAGAAAGCATCTCGAGTTGCTGACAGATACCAGAAAAAAAAAGGCCTCGAGTTCAAAGGGTTAACAGAAAATCCCGACCAATCACAGCGCGGCCGTTTAACGCGTAGCCTCGAGTTACTGGTAGATACCAGAAAAAAAGCCTCGAGTGCAAAGGGTTAATACTAATTGTATATTATTTGCTCTTACTGTAACTAAAGAGTAGTAGGTTAGAAAATAATGGGAATAGCTTAAATAAAAATAGTGGGAATAGTAGTATGGAAATAGGAATAGATATAAGACGTGTAAAACTAATAAGAATAGAAGTACCGAGAGCAATAATAATAACAATAGGAGCAAATTCAATAACGGTATGAGTATTAACTGTGAAAGTAGTGAGATTAAGTGTAGTAAGATAAAAAAAATAATAGAATTGAAAGTAGTAGTAGAAGTAGTAACAGTAGATGGAGACCTTGAGCAGCCAATTGAGTCGATCCTACCATATCCATCCTAGTAGCACATTCCAAGTGTTACGAGCGCTCATTCGACACGCTTATCCTCGCTACCGTGTATTTTTGGATCGATTGTACAAAAATTTGATCTGAAAAGGACCGAGGATTCGGTACACAAAGAAAGATCCATGGACCTTTCTTTCCCGTGAGGTCTCGCACCACGCATTCTCCTAAATCTCTCGCAAATCAACTTCATCACTCGTATAAACTAATATCCTTTATATAAACGTGTGACTGTGCCCCGCTCTTTTTCGTCATCCTGTTTCACAAAACGTCACGATTTCCATCCATCGCGTCGATAAACAGGAAATTGGTCGTCGAACGATACGAGAGGCAGTCATTGAGCGAGTCCTTTCCCTCTTCGTTAGGAAACCATCGATTAGAATTGAAAATGTACGTGTCGAACAGCGTTAGAAAGCTAACTAATTTATTTCAAGTAAAAAAATTGTACCGTGTCGAGATTTAAATAGTGTTACGCAAAAGTATTCGAACGCTTGAAGTCAAAAGCTGTGAAGGACTCTGAGGTTCTTGAATCGCTCGCTTGCCGAATATCAGGATTAGATTAGCAAAATTAAAAAAGAAAGAAAATCTGGTCTTACTGTAACGTTAATATTGTACTAATCGACTTTCAATAATTCATTATTCGAAACAGATACAATTTCAAATGAATTGGTATTATTTTTACTTTCGCTCAGATCTTTCGTCTGAACACCTTCAAATTTAGCCAACGTAATCCTGACAGTTGTGCTTCATGAAAAGTATTTAACAATTTCCCTAGCAATCTACAATATAATTTGTTCGTTAAAATAATCGCAAGATTTCAAATACTTTCGCGGGACACCGTGTGCGAAAGTTTCGAGTGTAGCCTGTCGTGAAACATTTTCAGTGGAAAATTATTTATACAAATGCGAACTCGTACACTGCGTACCTATCGAATTTACCGCGTCGTTAGGTGTCCCGCGCACAGTGTACGACCAATGTCCTTAGTCCCACAGAAGTTAACAAATCGTTAAAAAAAATTTATAAAAAGAGGTACTATGACTGCAACTCGTACTACGGCATGAAAGCAGACGAATCGAAACGATCATCGTAATACGTACTAATGTCTTCTCTCTTCGTACGCGTACAAAGACCAAGATAAAAAGAAAAGGAGCAAAAATTAAAAACAAGAAAAATGCATCGATTAGAAGATTAAAGAACCTCAAGCTTCAGAATAAGCAGCAAGTCTCGCTATAATAATGTAACAATCGAATCTCGCGCTGACGCTTAAAGAGTATAAAATGCAACATTTTTTTTTTTTTGTTTTACCATGGAAGTAGAATATTTTTACATTCGTCACTCGGTGATTACCAAAAAAACTACGTAAATACGAAGATACGATTAAAAACGATCGGTTATCATGCGTAATTACCCTTACAATATAAAATTTTCCAAAAAGGAAAGAAAAATATTCAGCAATCTCGTCACCTCGTGTGTAGGTGTTAATTCTAGTACAGCGTACCCATTCGAGACAGAAAGTTATTTCAATGTCACCGACTTTGTACAATCCCAAAGCGTCGCGACGCGTCGTCGAAGCATTTCGTCGCCGTAGTGAGAAGTAACCACGAAAATCATTCGACACGTGGTCTCCCTTTATTTCGCTTTATTTTTCAGTATTACCGTACGAGAATAGAACATGTTAGGAGTAGCTCATTAATTACGTAAGGGTCCTGAGAGGTAGTGGAGGGGGTTAAAAAAATCTCTACATGACTTTACCTCGGTGAGAGGGAGGGGCGCAAAAGCCATTTTTACGTAATATTTTACTACGAGTCCTATCCTTGCTTTGAGATTTTTTCAAACCTTACCTTGAATTATGATAAGCATTTTCCAAAGGCTGAATAATTATCTTTTTAAAAATCTTTGATTTACTTCAAATAATAACGTGTTTTGGTGTAACTGGG